TTCACATTTAATCGGGTGCGATCGAGTGTGAACTAATGGAGAGTCGCTTTTGCAGCGAGAATTGTAATTAAGTTTTGAGTTATTACGGTATCTGTGGGTGTTTTCGCTACATAATTAAGGTTAGAAAGGCGGCTGGCTTGAAAGTCTGTTGCAGCGGTACCCGAAGTGATGATGAGTCGTTTTTTTTTGTGGGGTAGGGAGTGAAAAGTGCGAATTTGTGAAATTGGTTGCGGGGCGTTCGGATGCAATAGGTGTGATGAGGCGTCGTTGAGCTCGTCAGATAAATTCGAGTTGTCGCGCGCTCGTTTTATCGCTTTGCATAATGCCCGTAATGTAATTTGTTGTTATGTTTAGTCAGCTTTAGAAAATCAGGCGTCGTCTGTTCAATGCCCCCGGTTTCGCCCCTAAATGCAAAGAGTGTGTTTACCCGTTACCGTAAAAAGTTACCACCTACGCAATTTTCCGGGTTGGCTCATAACGCTTTTTACGTGGCTGAAAGATGGAGGTTGATAACAGCCAGTAACCATTACCCGGGGTCTGCTCATCACATCCAGCATTACTCGTGAGTGCCATCCGACTCGCCTCTTGCACGAGCTACGACTTCATAATCTTCAAGAGAATCGCCGGAGCGACGCAGAGACCCTTTCACGTCAAAAATGGCTAGTTCATGGATACTGCACCCTTTTAATCTCGCCAAGTCGACTCACTTAAGCCGAGTAAACGACCCGAATTCCTTCTGAAACATTTATCAGGAAAAGAGGCTGCTGCATAAATGATAGCCTGCATGAAGGAATCGCCGACACCCTCTCCAGATAATTTTAATTATGCTTCTGCGTCCTTTTTCCATTTGCACCGGCCGGGATTCCGTAATTTGCATATAAATGGGTGTATTACAAAAATTGCGTCAGTGCTGTTGTCAGGTTAGTTTCGTGATGGTGGTGCTGAACAAAAGCAGACGCTAACCATTTCGTTTTATTTTATTTGCGTGTGGGATAAATAACACATCTTTTCTGTTGCCGCAACATCTCGCCAAACAGACCGGGAAATGTTGCAATAAGAGGATTAGCTAGACTCCCGCTCACTTGAGCAGCTACGGTCACATTCCCTAAAGCTTCAAAAATGGCTTTCAGTTGCTGATCTTTTCACGGGATGACAAATTAACGTTGCGCTCGTTATCTTGATAAAACGACAAAAATTTCACTTTGTGACACAACATCACATTCATTTTACCTCCCGGAAGATGAAAACTGATCCGCTCACCTACAGCCACCGACACGAGATATCGCACGCCATCGCGAAACTCAACGAGACTTTCCAATGCCTCTGCAGTCTGCACCCAAGAATTATTTTGTTGAAGACGTTATTTTCAACAAGACAGGGCCACAGCGCACAGTAAGTTCCAAACGGCAATTAAACCGAGTCGAAATTGCGAAACAATAGGTCCGGTCCATCCAGTAAATAGGGGCAAAAATCGGCAAAGTTGTAATTACCGTGCAGGAAGTTCTCCCCCGTCTCCGAAATTTCGTAGTCTGAAGTTGAAAAAGTTGCACGGTGACCGGCGACAATCTGCCCGCATGGATTCCTCTTCGCTCGGAAAGCCGCACGCCCCAGCGCGTTCCCAATTTCGACGCAAACTGAATTTAAGAACTAAGTTTCTTTCTTTCAGCCGTCCGACTGTGCAGATAAAAGATGAAAGTGAAGGAAGAGGGCGAGTGGGCGGCCCAGGGACCGAAGGAGATTGAACCGGGACGGATCGACTTTGATTATAGGAGCCGTTCGAAGCGATTATCTCTTTTGGAAGCTGCATCATTATTCGTTAACTCCGGTATACACCGGAGTTGATCGAATAAGACAAAAACCGGAAACGTATTCGATTGTGAAACTGGAAAAGGTGACTCCAAAGCAAATCTCAAATCGGGCGTGTTTTTCCCCGGAGATTCGTATGCTGACGAGGAACGCACCTCGACACACTCGAGCGCACAAAGATCCGAATGCTTGTGCAAATCAACGGCGGAGACCGGAAACGTGGAATACAGCGCTGCGCTCTGACAGATGTGACGGAATCGCGGTTCGATATTACACCCGGACTCGGATCAAGGGGGTAATGGGATATCGGCTTGTCTGGCCTGCCGACCGGAGCTATGACTTATCCCAAACACTCCCCGGAGGATTCCGGATAACGATCGCCGATAATGGCGACGCGTGCAGAATGCAACCCGAGCCGACGCCGGAATTACATATGTGCAAGCGCGCCACCAAAAAAAAAACAAAATTTTTCGCGTACTAAATTTCGATCACCGACAGCGTTATCTGTGCCCATTTCGAATAGTGTGTTCGCCGAGCAATACCAATCATAGTTCATTGGTAAATTTTTTCGTTGGTTATTGACGTACGAGATGGTTGACGATGAGTTGACGCGTTTGCGTTGGAATGATGTCTCTTCTGTCAAAATAGATGCGCCTTTGTTCGCGAGCGCCTTCCTGGCCATAAACACGTTCCCCGTTTACTGCCCGTTTAATTTTCGCCGAGTTGCGAGCGAATGAGACGACGTCGCACCGGTTCCTTTTTTCGTCTGTAATTTTCGTATTCTGTATAGCGCATAAATTAAACAACTCGCCCAGTTTATCTCAATTTTCGCGAATTATTCCGCTGGAAACGGTCCATTTTATTTGGATGATTAGATTTTTGTCGCTACACTTTTTTCAACTTTTTTCATTTAAAAAAACAAGATAGCTTTTAGTCGACAGCTTTTAATTTTCCCCCCTTTATAATGCCTTGTTTTTTTCTTCACCTAAGGGCGTCGTAAAAACATAAAGTTAAATACGTTAATAAAATTGATAGTATAGAAAGTTTGGGTGATTCCCGAAGTTTTTTTATGGTGCACCTTCATGAAATTCCATTTGGTTTTATACTGTGACAGAGCGAATAAAATCATATTAAGCACTCGAAGTTCACTGAGGGGATTATCAATCACACGCTGGGTCCATTACGAGGAATTGATAGGTGGTGTGGGTGAATGTTGAGTCAGATTTGTACAATCAACCCAGAGATGATATGTCATCTATTTGTAATTTCGATCCCCATCTTATTAATGATGGAATAGAGTAAACACAATGGCGAAAGCGAGAGCAGAACTCATTATAGTAATGAAACGATTCTCTCCCAGATGATTCAAAGCGAGAATCCTATTAGAACTGTAATGATACAGGAGCGAGGCTCCAAACTACAGTAATTGCTCTCACAATTTCACTTATTCATTTTTCACGTCTTGTAAGTACTCACATTATTTACTCGCTTCTCTAGCGCTACACTTCCAACAAAGACACCAATTCATCCTCTAATTCGATTTATTAAACACTCCTAAACATTAATTCCGTCTAATATCCAGCTCGCTTTCAAAGAATCGAACGGAACGCCACTTTTTATAACCTCCTGAGTCACGATCTGAGACGCTCGGTGCCACCCACTCGAACCATAATAACAATAATTTCAGATAATAGTATAATTCTAAAGAGATAGGCATTTAATACTAGAACACTGTAATAGTTCGAAGAACATTAATTTAACGTCGAGGAAAACAATCACGGGTAATCATACAGACAACTTAAAATTGGTAATGTGCAGTTGAACCTCTCGTATGACTATAATGAGATTATCTCAAGCCAATAACATTACAGGAGCAGTTATCAAGCCTCTAACAGGATGTTTCATGTTTAATTGCTCAATACGAGTTAGGTTCGACTATAGGCATTATGTTCCTACTTTGTTGGAAAGTACAATCACAAAGGATAAGTGGTTAACGTCTGCGGAAATGTTATTATCCCTAAACAATTCAAAACTGGGTCGCAGTCTTCCAAGCTCATTTGCCACCAACGCAACTACCCTAGACGTTTTACTACTTTTTGAAAAATTACACGCCCTCTGGTAGGGACCCGCCTAATGACTCAGGGTTTAAATTCACGTAAGTACTCTTCACGGGGTCGTATGATTTTTAAAGTTTGCAGGACGTGTTTAAAATGTTTCTGGGTGTGTCATCGTTTTGTCGTCAACAATGGGTTCGTGTTTTAAAATTTTCAAGAGATGAACTCCTTGCTCTTTAAATCTTCATTCCACCCTTTCTCCAGCCTTCCTTTGATCCATCTGCTCGCTCCTCATTTGCCCAGCCCAACAATACGACCCAAGGTTTACGAGTGCGTTAATGTCCCGGAGTTATGGCAGCCCGGAGTCCGCCCAGGTATAAATAACCCCGCAACCGTCTTAATTCCGCGAGCTGATGAATTCAGCTTTTTCTACTTCAAACGAATCCGGTGTATAGGTGTTTAGCGAGCTTCTGCAAAAGCTTCTCTCTCAATCAAGCAACTCCGAACCAATATTAATCGACATTTCTAAAAGATAAGTCCGAAGTCTTTTCACTCGCCGGAAAAGCACTGATTAAATTCGTCATTTTTCCGGGGATTAGAGAGTAATCAAAGCGAGCTCTGTACCGACTCGTTCAATACCGCACCGGTCCTGATACAGCCCCAGAAGGACCGTGTTTATGACCCCCAATAAAGGGGTTGTAAGCTACCGACGAGGGTCCACTGATAATACCGCGGCTTATGCGCTAAAATATGTACGGCGCGCTGGGACAATGGGCAAAAATTATGGCCCGTACCGATAGGTGGCGCTCCCTCGTCATAATTGTGGACACTGGCCGGGTTTAAATTAGAACGGACCATTACAGATTCGAGATACGGGCCCTTGCGATTATTAAAATTCGGGCGTAAGTGAAATTTTTGCTGCCGGATGGAGATAATGCTGGTAAAGTGATTAATCATAATTCCCCCCCGAATTATATAGACCATAAAGTAAAAGCTGGCGAAAGAGTGACGCGTTCTTCATATTGTAGGTTATGGGGGTAGAGCGTTTTGAGGTAAGCGCGGGCGATTATTAAAAGTCAACAACGCCGTCCCTTGTTAATTCGGCCGAATTTCCGCTGCTAGAGTATTCAGGGCACTTACCGTTGTGCACGAGCAGGGTAGAATCCCTCGCCAAAGCAAGTTCCGAGTCGGTAAGGGTGGCGTCCGAGGCGTTTTCCGATGTGGGGGTGTCGCTTAGTCCAGCCGGCTGTTGATACAAGGGATGCTGGTACGTGTGTTGGGAACCGTATCGTCGGGGTGAGTCTTCACCCTCAGACCCGCTGAGGCTGTACGCGGGGTACAGACGCCCCTTGCCTGGAAGAATAAAAAATATCATGATTTCAAAACAATTCGGGAAAAAGTGCTCCTCTGGGACGAAACTTGACGAGGGGGTAATTAATTAGATATTCTGCATTTATCCTGGCGGAGGCGAGCAAACAGCGGAGTGTTGGTTTAAGGGAGGGTGGCGCATGCCCGCCCGAACAAACAGATACACTTTAATTCGTTTACATACGTTGCGTTGCGGGAGTTATTAAAGTTTTAGGATCGCTTCATCGAAGTAGTTGGGAGACACTCGGGGGTGGGTAAAAATGCGAATGCAAATTTGTTTTATGCGGTGTCACACTATCCCGAAAAGCTTTTCCGGTAATGGAGTGCGGTCGGGAGATCTGTCATTTGCGAATAGATGCATTTGATTCCGGCCAAGTTGTACCGATATAAATTTGAAGTTGTCAATTGAAAATTGATATACTAAAAACGAATATTTCGAACGAACACATTCTGTTTAATATTCCGCATTTTTCGCGTCGATTGACGGCGAACACATTTTTACTCGCTGAAAAATGTGCCCCGTCATTTCGAAGCACTTAGCGGATTAATAAAACAATATTTATGAAAATTGATGAAGGCGACGATTTAAAAATCATGTTGATGTTTCCACAAACATCGCTGTCCGATTGAATGAAACTCCGACACAACGCTTAAAAAAACGAATACGTTCCAGGCTTTAGCAAACTTCGTATTTTAGTGGCGTTGGAGTAAGCAAACGAAACGCAGATTTTTTATCGTGTGTGGAATGACGAACGGAGCAAATGTCGCTTTTTGCCGGCGGAAAGTTTGAATTAACGCACGCGAGCGAGCGAGACAGAGAAACACAATAAAACCTAATGTTAACCAGTTTAGGAAGTTTGTGATTTACTCGATAGTTCTTATATGCTAGTTATTAAAAGTAATAAATCTGCCCCGAACCGGGGTCATTGCATAAATCCCGCACAAGCCGAGCCAACGAACCGCGAACTCCATCCGACCATTACTATTCCTACAATAGTTCGGGACTTCCCTCAATAAAAAACCGATTCTGATCATAATTGCCCACATCAATCGCCGGCAGTCCCCGATCGCGTCGTCAGAGGGGTTTTGCTCCTCATAAATCCCGAAACGGCCGCGACAGTCGAAAGCCGCAGAAGCGCTGAACGGCGCTTAATAATGCGCACAGGCGTCACGAGAGAAGCGAGCTGCATTGTAGTCGAACGAAAGAGTAAAGACATTCGGGAGGTGATTATCCCTTTGAATTAACGCATACTTAAACTAAGGTTACTAGTATCGCTGCGTATCCAGTTGTGGACGTGATCACCGTTGTGGGATTAGTGTCATTTCGGTCAACAATGCCCGAACGACCTCTTTGGTAAAGACCCTCGTCAACTTGATAGATATCGCGTGCCGCTTTGAAATTTACTTAAAGTTTAGGGTTGTGTCCAGGAAAATAGAAAATCAACTACATGCTTGCGTACCAATACAAACAACAAATTAATATTCTGTCACTGCGCGTGATACGGCTCTGTTCAGAGTGTGGCTACCGCATTACACTGTTTAACTTTTACGTTGTAAAACTTTATTAGTGTACAAGATAGTCGCGAAGAGTGAATGTACCGTTTTTATATCACCCTGTGCCCATTTCGCCGCTCCTGCTATCACCTCCCTTGCGCCTCCTTCTCCCCTGCACATTACCGCTGTCGATGACGCAAGCAATAATCCATTTTTCGCATTTCCCATCGGTCGATTTAACCTCTCTGCTGTATTAGCACAATCCAGGCCGAATTGAAGCTCATTCTTATTCTTTCATTCGCGCCCGTGAAAAATAAACACGTCCAGAATACCAAGCACCACCGCCGGAGTTGGTCGAGTATTCAGTCACTTTGTAAACATATTTGTAGAAAGTGCGTGTGGATTCCAGCACCTTTTTCCATCACAATGGGAATAAGTGTGCTTGGCGTCGTATTCATGCGGCATCTTCCGGCAATCATGCGGCCTCCGCCGGGAACGGCGCGAATTACGTCAGGCCTGCGTCTCGGGGGAGGCCCGTGCGTGCCATAAGGCGTCCAAGAGATGTGACGAGCTCGCAGCCGGAGATGAAGGATGACTTGAGGTGTGAGACGTAATGTGCCTCCGGGGAATACCCGCTGATTGCCCGACAACGACAACTGAATCATCGCTCGCTTCATCGACGGCACCCCGGCGACGACGCGCCCTCGCCCCAACTCTTTTTGCAAACAATTAAAAGGCCGAGATGGGGAGAAGTTTGCGAGGTTTGGGGCCGGAAAAGGACACTAATGAAATTGTTTATCGCTGAGACAGTCCGCTGCCAACTGCAAGCGGTGAAAATCACAAAGTTTAGGGGAATCTCCTGGAAGACATCAGCATCAGCACTCAAGAGTTCTTGTTGCAACATGAAATTCACCCAATGCACAGATGCGTGAAGTCTGTATAGTGAGAGGCGGCACGCTTCCACGAGCTTCTTCGACCCGATAATCATTTATAGAAACCCTGCACTTTTAATTAAAGCAAAATTTCGGCAACTCAAGCGAAGGTTTTGGACGATCCCCACAGGGAATTTATTTCCCGGAAATTTCGTCTCCACGAATACAGACGCATCCAAGTCCCCTGCATAACCGTAAACCTTGCGTTGTAAACAGGGAAAAACTGAGTCGCTGAGAGCTTTGGTCGAGTGGTGCAACGAATGCACCACATAGAAGCACCCTCTAGACTAGAAAATCAGCATGAAGCAGCAGCTCGCATACAACGCAAGTGTAGATATAAAAATTCGAAGCGAACAATGACCCAAGTACCTAAAATCAGCCACAAATAAAACTACGAAGCCCTTGCAACTGCATCCCGTGCACTACGAACTTCGCATCGGCGGCCATCTGTTCGTCTCGCCCTAAATAATTCATCCCTCAACGTGTCACGTCCCAAATACCCACTACTCCCGCAGGTATGAAATATCGGCAAAGTCTCCGTAAACGTGTCTGCAACACCACACCTGTCTGCACCCGCATATTCGCATTGCAAATTAGGAACGCATCTGCTATCGACGGCGCGTTTCACGCCAGAGTGGGCGAGCGTCGCGACGCCGTCGACGCCTAAATTAAAAATTATCCCAGATCGTTATCGGCGCCGATTAACGAGCGCCCTTTGTACCGCAAAATAGAGATTTAATCGGAGCGTGTTTTATATGAATATTGAATTGATAGCGAGCGGTAAATACGAATACAGGGTGATAAGATCCTAATCGGCCGTTGATGCATTTGTGTTTTGAGTACGGGCATGGCGGCACGTGGCCCCTCGTCGTATTTTCCTATTAATTTACTAATTCATCTTCGTCAGCGGTGGGGTATTTTACAGTCGACATGCATTTTCACGTGTTTATAATAGGGGATTAGTTTAGGATGTCAGAGGAAAGCGTGATGATGATAGAGTGCGACAAAAATGGAACGGCGGCGAGGGAAATCGCTGCAAATGAACAACGCGGCATGCAAAAACTACCCGATTAAAAATTGCTGACCTTTTCTAGCCGAGTTTTGAATAAAAGTGCGCGTTTACCGCAAACGCGAGGGTACAAAGGTAACCTATTTCGGAAAATGATTGCGCCAATTAAAAAACAATTTTCTTGTGCCTCGCGAGCGTCTCGGCTACAATCGGGGCTTAATCGTTTTAATTTATTCAGCGCGGAACATTCATTATCGTACTGCATCAGGGAAATAGTTCCAACAAATTAAAATGCTGAGGCTCATTAATTGTTCTCGCTTGTTTGGAGGAAAAAATTACCGAGGGGACTAGTATTTCTTCGCAGGAAGTGTATTTCAGCATCTGTTCCGTCTGATGACACACTGGTGCATTAAAAATAATAATTATTGTCATAGCTGGTTATGTCATCTAATTATGTTTATTATTACATCATGGCGACGGTATTAATTGGGTTACCCAGCCCACCGTTCTGGGTTATGAATCTAGTTGTGAGAACGTGATCAATAGGATTTGAATATTAGAAAAGTTTTTGGTGCGGCGCTGATTGCTCCGTTCGTTATTACCTGCCCCGTTTTACGTCGCCGGCACATTTTGTCCGCATAAAATTACGCCGAAACAACATAAAATAAAAAATATCGCCGCACTTTTACATCATTACTTTGTTATGCCGTCCCCGTTGTCGTGTAAAAAACAATCATAAAGTTAATGTATGCTTTGTAAGTTTTTTATTTCTTTTGTGGTACTCGAGATGCGATCATCTTTTTAATGCTCACAGTTAATTTTAAAAAATGGCAATCATTTCTACCGGTCGGAATTTTAATACGGACATTAAAACTACCAGAAGCGCTTTCTTTCATCATAAACGTCAAAATTAATGAACTGACACAGCCACTACACATAATGTGACAAGTTTATAAAGGTTTTTTAATGCCCATGGGTTCGTCTCTGCCTTCACAAAATACTTTTACGGAGGATTCGTGATGTTGTCGCCACTTTATTTATTCTCTAGTTAATTAATTAGGAAAAGTGCGCCTTTTAATCTCGGAGATAATAAAAACAGCTTTGACAAAAAATATTTGCGTATTAATTATTAAGCTATTCGGGATCGATTTACACGTTTATCTTCAGCGTCGTTTGAAGTTGGAAGCGAAAATGACTTTAACTTTCTCGGGGTTGTGGCAGAAAAGTTGTAATTTATTTGACTTGTAATTCGATAAAATCTGGTCAACAAAAAATTATTGGGGCGGAAATTTACTCCGGCGATATTTTCTCAACATAAAATTCGCGTGATTGAACAGAAAGTTTGCGGGGTTCTAGTTTTGTTTACTAATAAATAGTAACCGGATTTTGATTATCTGGTTAAAATTTCTTAGCGACGCATGTACACGAGAGTGGGGTGCCGTATTGTTACAAAAAAAGAGAACCTACTTTTGTTTTCGCATCAATATTGCCACTTCTTCACTCTAAAAATCACACAGGAAACACACGCGGCCACGTTTCGCACAACCAAC